AGAAGTAACTAAAAGATAGAACCAAAAAACTACTGCCAATGTCTATAGGTCATGCAGTTATTCCTCATGTTCAAGCTTACCCAACTCTGACAATCAATGGAAGTCAGCAACCAAGAGCCCAAAGTCAGAAAAGGAAAAGGAAATGAACCATCAGATACAAAGGAGGGAAGTTAATTCCTCTGCCCATTAAATTCTCCTAAATTAAGAATACCCAACCATTCACAGATCAGACCAAAGCAGCAACCCAGGAAAACTACATTCATTCATGTTCATGTTCTTACTCTTCTCTCTCCCACAGCCCCTCTCTCCAAGTATCTTGTCCCTGCCTAACCACCTTCTCGTCATTAGATTCACCAGGCTGTGCTTTTTGAAAAAAAGACCTATGTCTACAATCTTTTCGCTGTTAAGACAGTCCACATATTTTAGCTTTAAGCTTCACCTACACTAGAGTTTCAAACACTTTTGATCCCAATCTACAGTAAGAAACACAAGAAAACACAAGTTGTGTATAACGACACTTAATCTTTTTCTACACATGATGTACTTGATATTTTCTAGTCTAGTCTATTTAATTTTTAAAATGCTGGTTGGACTTTCAAACTAATCAAAACCAAGAGAATGAAAAACAATGAGCTACATATATTATATAACACACTGTGAGTAGTGTACCAAAGAGAAAAGGTTTTATAAGAAAGGTTTTGACTGCCAGAGGATAGTACAATAAAATATTAATTTGTACCAAGTTCAGCTATTTTATCATAAAATAACCTGAGCTTGCTATGTAATATTAATCAAATCCTAAGAAGTATGGGACATTTCATAAAGTTTGCAACATATTATGCTATTTGTTTTTAGACTGCTATGCTAAAGTATACCTTACATTTCCACATAAAATAAACAAATTGCTAAAATTTTCAGTGTTAATCCTGACATCCCTGTTTTCACTCACAAAGCAATAGATTCTTAAAAATAACATTGTGTTAAATCAAATCACTGTATTTATTCACTATTGTTCTTAAAATAGAATATTAGGTGGCTGTTATAAAGGAAATAAGTCCCCAACCTTTATTTCTGATGATATTTGTAAAGATCCTAATTGAGAATTTAAATAAAAATCATGTTTAAAAATAGTTTTTATCCTCACTGTAGGACATGCTTATTGATCTTGGAGAGAGGGGAAGGGACAGAGAGAGAGAGGGAGAGGAACGCCAATGTGAGAGAGAAACACCGATTGGTTGCCTCTCATATGCACCCTGATTGGGGACCCAACCAGCAGCCCAGTCCTGTGCCCTGACCCAAAATCGAACCCACGACCCTTCACTCTACAGGGAGGACACTCCAACCAAATGAGCCACACTGGCCAGAGCAACAAAAATAATCGTACTCATCTGTGTTAAATGAACACGTTGACAATTTGGCATGATTAATAAATTCTACTCAGGAAAAGCTAATAACAAGGACCAACAGAAGTGAAGACCAAAGTATACTAGAGAGGATTTAGATCCTTCTAATCAAGCCAATATCACTTCACTTAATCGACCCATATGAGAAAAAAATATGAATCTTTAAAACTATTCTAATGAAAGGAAAAGTTTAAACCACAGTACCTGCAGATACACTCTAGTAACAAGTTTATAAATTCTTCACACTAGTGTGTGTGTGTATGTATACACTCAATAAGCTGTAAAGTTACTGTTATTTAGGGTTACTTTAAATAAAATATTACAACGTCCAAGATTCAGGGAGCATCAAAAACCAGTCATACACATACCAATAGCAAGAATGTTTCTTTCATGTTGAGTAATACTACCTTAACATCTACTTTTTAAGTAAATTGGTAAAAAATTACCTAAATTCCAATTCCCCATTTCAAAGTAGAGGGCAGCCAAGCCAATGAAGAACATACTCGTTTAGTTATTACTAGCAAAATCAGTTTATAATGTAAAAGTTATTTTTACTTTACAACTCTGTTGCAACATTCTAGAATTGTACTACGGACATCAAAACTCTAATTTTATGAACCAACATACAACATAATCATTTCAACAACTTAAAAAACAAAGGTGACAGAACACAGTCTCTCTATTCTTACTGGATATAACTGGAAAACGTTATTAAATTTAAAAGTGACTATGGCCGTAAGGAAGTTTTGTCCCGGTACACTATTGCTCATTGGCTTAATCCCCTCTTCCTCTCTAGAGCTCTGTTTATTTTCTTCCTCAAGCCATTAGCGCCAAGAGCAAGGACTGCTACCGAACACATATACACCTCACTTAGAAGCATCAGTTTTCTCATTGTCATGATAGTGTAATGAACAAAACATTAACTGTAACAATGTAAAAGTAAAATGGACCATAATTAGAAATAAAGTGAAATTGATGGAAATGAAGCAAGGTAGACAGAATCTTGGCTGACTTCTTTTTTAAAAGTAGCCTATCATCAGCATAAAAATAAGGAATATCTAAATGACACTTTCATTAACACAAAGACCGAACAGAAATATACAGCATATAGCACAGAGTATTTAACTACTACTGCTCTCCTGTTGCAAATATTGGGTTTTTCAAAACTCAAACTAAAAACTATCACTTTAAGGCAAATCTAAGTTATCAAATTTAACCTCTGTAAATTTCCATCATAGACCAAAAATAATGATTAAAAAATTAAATTGAGGACCATTCACTATCTGGAAATTTCATTAATCTAATTGTTTTTATATAATGTTAGGTGACAAGAAAAAAAAATAGGACATTTCCCCAAAATGTTGTAATGAATTCATGGATGAAGAACAGCTGACCTATTGCAATACTTAATTGAAGAGACACATTTTTCAATAACCTAAAGTCTCAAATAACTTAGAGGCAGTAGAAGTACTACGACTTATGACATTTCTTGACAGCTTCTCCACTCTTACATGTCTTTTCTTACTCCTGACCCAACTTCCGTGGGTGAGAACTCCCACTTTCAGCATCTCAGACTCCCAACTTAGAAATGCCTGAGATCTAACAGACACTGCCTACCGGCGAAGCGCTCCAAATAATTCCTCCAAAATGCTAATCTCTTGTTCTCCATCACTGAGAAACACAGCAGACCACTTAAAAGACTACATTCTTGTCATGTCTTTTCAGACTCCTAACGAGATAAAATATGAAGCATACTACTGAAACCTAATTTGTTTTAAATCATGAAAAGCCTCTGGTTTGAAATTATTTAAAATAAAAATGAAGTGTATTTGGCCAAATAGTTATTTGACTTTTGGCTTATTTGGCTTAAATTAAATTTGTATAAACAAGGGGTTTTCTAATATATATGAAACAAAACCCAAGGAAACATATTCAGTGGAAAATATAGATAAATTACTCTGATAATACTACACAGCAAAATATCTCAGAGCATAAAACTACTATGTAAACTCTTAATACCAAAAGGTAACTGAGCATATGGTTTTTTCTCGTCATAATTTTGCAGATAAGAAAGGACAGATACTAAATGACAATGCAAGAACTGAAACTCTAAAGGTACCAAAAACTTCTTTAAATCTCAAAAAGAAAAACCATTAAAATTTTTCTAAATTCATAAAACATGAGATATAAAGCTACACAAGCTTTATAAAATATTTTATTCCACATATTAAAATAAAAGACATAACAAAACCAGTACTGAAGTCAAAATTATTTCACTCTTAAGAAAGAAATCACTTGAAAGATGGTTTAGAATTCTTAGATTCTGAATAAAAGCCTGGTAGTCTGTTTTTAAAAAACCATACTATTCATATTTTTATATATGTATATACACTGTGTGTATATGTATATACACTGTATATATATTCAGTGTGCATCTACTGTGTATGTACATATATATAAATGCAAGCAATGTTCAATGAGAGATTTACCTGACAAGCTAATTTTTAATATATTTCTAATTTAAAAATTCAAAATAATCACCAATTAACTTTACTTCAGGAAAATAAGGCTTACTTGGGAACCGAGACACTTTTGTATCAGAACTTTCCAACAAACTAAAATTGCTAGTATCCCAAAAATACAAAACACAGTACTCCTTTGGCTAATAGCCTTGCAAAGCCAATGTACCAATACAGGTGTGGGTGATGACGTGTATTCTTCCAATAGAAAACAGCTGGATGTTTGAATGGACTTGTCACATTGGATACAGAAGAACTTCAGCCCAGCCTGCGAGCTTGAAGGTCACACGGGAGCGTCTGCCCTCATCACTGATCTACTGCACTAGGGTTGCTCTTCTAAATCCCATCTATATTTAGGAGAATGAAGACACAATTCTAACCACTTTAGATCTTAATTAAATGTAAAGTAAATCAAACTTTCAGGCAGGAGCTGCTCCCAAACATTCTTTCCCAACCACTGTCAACAAAATTTTTAAACATGTATGTCATGTTATCTTACAAACATGACAATTTATGGAAAGTCCATGTTCAACAGTTTTTTTGCTTGAACTAAATGGAGATGAAATAAAACCCACTGATCACTATCTTCAAGTTCCTGTTGACGTAAGATATTTTAATATCTCCTCCCATTTCCAGAGTGATCTCCAGAGTCTGGGAAGGAATGTTTCCACTAATAAATACCTTTCCATTGAATATCTGTTATACCACCAGCAATCATCCATTTTTGCCTATCACAGAATTAGTCATAAGCTCTTACTGTTGACCTAAAAACATTAAGTTCTTTCTTGTAAATTCCACATTAAATAGCACATTTGAGGAGCCTGGTTGTACTCTTGGGAAAATATTTACCAAAAACTTGGGGGGAAAAATCTTGAATAATGGGTATCTATTATCTATTGTACATATTTTTAAATATATACACCATATAATACCTATTATAGTAAGATAGCATATATACTACATATTATATGCTGTATATTACATATATGTTTATGTACTCAGAGTTAACTCATGGTAACTCCCTTTAACGATTAAATCGTAATATGGAGCTTGTTTGTTTGTTTTAACCCAAACTTACCCCATTCTAGGTATTCAAGAATATTCTTCTCTCTTCTCAGCGGAGAATTATTGCATTCATCATAAAGGCAGATGAGTATATCCAATAACGTTTCCACACTGAAGCACTGCCCATTGGTCTGAGCCGGCCCATCCAAAATAAACTGCTCCAACTGCCGCAAACGCACTTCTCCAGACATGTTGGCTTCGATTTCTGCTGGATTTCCTTTAAATTATTATTAATGACTCCTACTATGATTCTTTGAACCTAAAGTTTAAAAGGTGTGGTTTTAAAAACAAACCACTTGTTATTCAAACAACTGTCACGCAATGCCGGTGCTGAATTAAACATCTAACACACCGGTACCCTCACTTAACTGAAGCGTCTTCAATTTCGCACATATACATATATTCTGAGGGATAGTTACCATAAAATATATATTTGATACATTTTTAAAGAATACAATTAATTCGTATGTTTAAATAAAATAATAATTAAAAGTACAACGAACCAAAGAGTCAACACTTCTTTAAGGGGGGGGGGGGAACTCTTCTCCTTCATTCAAAATTCAACTCGTGCAACATAATCCTGAAACGAATCCGGTTGCATCATTAATGAATTAAGTCCGATCTGCATCAGCAATTCACTTCCCAGGAAGAAGGAAAACAGAAAAGGGAGGAAAAAGCCAGAATGTATGTAAGGGGGAGGGAAAACCAAAAATTCGGCTGCAAATCCTCCCAACCACCGCTTGGATGATGCATCAGCGGCAATTTCTCCAGCGGGAAGGGAGGGGGCGAGTCCCTGAAGCAGCCCCTCGGCCCGGAGCACGCCAAGTCTTGCCCGGAGGAGGCTTTTCCTTTTTCCTTCCGAGCTCCTGCTTTTTAAGGCTTTGCAGTTAGTCCCATTTCCAACGGCTGCGGAGGACAACTCTTCATTTTCCTCCCGGCTTCTCCCAGGGGCCTGGCTGGCGGCGCGGCCGGGGCTGGAAACGCGGGCTGCGGGCGGCACTGGGCGCCGGGCTCCGGGAGCAGCGGCTACTTGGCCGCCCGAGCCCGCTCCATGTCGGTGGTCGCTGGTCGGCCGGCCTGGCCCGCGCCGGGCGCAGAGCCCGGTCTCCCCACACCCGCACCGCGGCCGCCCGCCGAGGCTCCCGACGCCCTGGAGCGGGGGTGCTTGTCGGGATTCAAAGGACACGGACGGCGGCAGCTGCGGCGGCGGTGCGGGCGGCTCCAGCAGCTACTTCTCCCTCTTGTTCACACCCCCGGGTTAAGGGCATCTTTCCGCGGCGAGGAGGGAGGCGGCCGAGGCGCCGGAGGAGGGTCTGCTGCCGCGGGTGAGGCTCGCGGAGGCTGCCGCAGCCCGGCTCGCAGCCACTCCCTTCCTCTCCCTCCCACCCCTCCCCCGCCTTCCCGGTCCTCTCGCGCCCGCGCCCTGGGCTCCGCGAGGCTCCCCGTCCCCGCCGCACGCAGGCGGAGACTCGCGCCTAGTCCGGATCCAATATGGCGGCCCGCGCCCCCCGCCCGCGCGCGCACGCCCGCTCCCCGCCCCGCCCCTCCCCTCCCCGCCCCCGCCCCCGCCCCCGCCGGAGCCCGCGGGCCGAGCCGGGTCGGTCTGCGGCCGCGCCGCGCCGCGCCGCGCCGAGCCGAGGCCCTGGAAGGGGCGCGGGCGTCCGCACCACCCTGGAGGGAGGGTGGGGACCGCCTCGGCCGGCGAGGCTGCGGCTGCGGCAACGTGGAATGCAGGGATACGGGAGGACTGGGGAGGCCGCGGCGGCGGAGGACCGGGAGCGGACTGGGAACTGCGCCACCGCCTCGCCGCTCTCCCCGCTTCCCGAGGCTTCTCGTGCGGATCGCGAGCGGGGCTTCTTCCTCGCCCTCGGAGACACCACCTGCCAGGCACGTTTGGTAAGGGGGCCCAGAGGCCGAACGGCTTTAGACTCCCGACAGATCCGTAGAAGACGGCGCCTCTCGCCGCCCCTTACCTGCTCCCCACCCGCCCCCCAAATTCAGTTCTCAGGCACTCCATAGTTATCATTTCCTGGGTGTCCAATTACACTGTTTCTTGTGTCATTTCCCAGGACAAATACGACAGACTTGGACGCGCTACCATCCAACTCATAAGTGTGTGAATGCAAAGGACAGAATTCCCCATCTCTATTCCCAAAAGTTTCCCTACGTGGAGCACAGTGTTTTCTCCGGAACTATTCAAGCTGCTGCCTGTTTATCCCCAGCCAAGGTTACCACCTACCGGGGAATCAGCTGATGGGAGTCAAGACAGTGCAAAGCTATGAGCAAACCCGCATCCCTTTTTGCGCTGGCTTACACCCCCTCCACCCCTCAGCCTAAAGGCACTGGGCAGCAAAGGCAAAAACACCCAACCCTGATGCATTTAAGGCTTTCCAGGTTTTCCCAGTCTTGGTTTTAGAAGCGCTCTCACACACGCGCGCACACGCACAAACGTCTAACCCAATGGCACCGCGCAGAAATTGGGCAGCAAAGGCAAGTCGTCAGAAGCGACTGCTCTTGATGCATTTAAGACCTCCCAGGTTTTTCCAGTCTTGGTCTTAGAAGAGCTTTCTTACAAATTTCTTGTGGAAGGTCCCATATTTAAATGTGCTGTTAAACTGGGTCACTGCATTTCTGTCGTTTCCTCAAAGGTGTCATCTCCTTTATGATCTTTCTCCAAAATACAATTATTTTCTAGTCCTTTCCAACACCCATCAGGCAGTTATGTTTTCTATGTTGATGCCCACAATTATATCTTTTCACATCTTAATAATATGAAAGTTGAGGAAGACCTAGCAATGAAGGTCTAGAAACAAAGCCTAAAATTAAGGCTAACAAATTATTCAAGTTGCTGTGATTTGCAAAATACTGTAAATGTTTTGCAAAATTTATACTTGACAAGTTGGTACTCTCCTGGCTTAAATAAGGACAACATTATTTCCAATGTGCTCCTTGACACATGATTGATACTTAGACTCAGGCAAAGGATCAGTCCTTCTGGACATGACATCTTTATATGTGTGTTGTCTAATTATAAAAGTAATACAAAAGAAAAGTTTAATCCTAACACAGATAAACATGAATATTTCGGTGTTCTTTGTTCAAGGCTTTTTTATGCATTTTAATAAAACAATACATAAGACAGCTTTATAGGCTCTTGTTTTTACTTAGCAACATATTATGAACATCTTCTCAACAAATATTCTTCAATAACATGGTTTTTTATGGCCAAGACAACTTAACATTTTCATTTGACCACGAGTTAGGGTAGCAAAGAAAGAAGCAATTTCTTCTTCTCGTACAGCACAGAACTGGCTCCAAGATACCAAGTTACCCACCTTGTAAATAACTATTAAAAAAGAGTTTAAAAAAGAAAACCTAAAACGTGTTAGGTCTCCACAAATGCTAATTAACAGCAAATGAGATACAGATATATTTCTTAACAAAAGAATCAAGCTGCCAGTCCTTTCTCTACCTATTCTGTTAGCACTTGGTACCACCCACAGTCCAGAGTATTGATGTTTGCATAATAACCTTTGCCACATTGTTTAGAGAGCAGAGGGGAGAACTTATTTTTATTTAAAAACACACACACACAAAGAGAAGGAAGGAGGTTGAACCCAATCAATTTTGCTTGAATAATTCAAGCTCAGAGACTTAATAATTAACTAGACACTAAACACATTGTGTGGGTGTTATTTTAAATGTTCTGGTTGAAGTGTGAACATGCCTGTTAATGAAACCGGTCTTAAGCCAAAGAAAGGCGCAGCCCAATAGCTCCGCAGTGCTGCGTGGCAGGGTGTTCTTTGGGGAAAGAGTCTGGAGGAGGTCTTTCTTGGGACATGCCACTTGGGGACCTGGAGAGTAGATACATACTGCTGCAAACAATTCGTTTAAAACAATCAGAGAAAGTTTTACGAAGGTGCTGGGAATTATTCTGACCTTTTGTGAAAGAAAGAGGACATAGAGATAGAAAAGTGGAAAGAATCGGCCAGACAGGAATCCTTAAGGCGCGTCTCCCTTGCAAACTCCTTTCATCCAATCCTACAATCCTGGCCTAACAGCAGAAGGATCGATCCGTCAATTACTGTTTATACCAACCAGGCCCACTCTTGCCTTGCTGCATCTTATTCCAGAATAACTACAGATTCAATGATGGGAAACGGGGCCAGAAGCAAGGTGAATGCCATAGTGGGGCTTCGTGTGTAGTCACATGAGGATATTTTACTCGCTCCCCTGTCCGCACTGCTAGCACAGCCTGAAGTCACAAATGAACGACTGGTTTAGTCTGGTTTCTGACACCAAGTAAAGACTCATGTATGGAAAAAGGAGACTTTGTAATTAATAATTGCTTTCTTCACAGAACACTTACAGTGTGTACCTACTGTCCTGAGCACTTTGGGCACAATATTCTATTCAATCATTACAAATATATGAAGCAGAACAATTATCATATCCATATCACAAATGAGGAAACTGAGGTTTAGAGGACGTTGAGAACTTGGGAACGATAGCTAGCAAGTGACATTAAGCTTCTCTCAAGCCAGGGCCAAAAGTTTTATCCACCACACAAATGAGGTCTAAAAGATGTATGAAATTCCATAAACCCAACCTCTCCCTCCTTTGTAACCAGGAAGCAGGAGGATGTAGTTCCTAACTGACATATTTGGGCATTAGAAATTGACATCAGGGCAGAAGAGGAAAACCCATATATGAAAAGCAGAAATCACTGATCTATTTAAAGCAGCGGAACCTTCATTTTGGAAAATGGCTACATAGGTGATAGAAGAGCTGAGGAAACAGACAAGCAGCAACGTCTGCTGCCCCCAGCCCCTGACCCAGGCTGGTGGAGCTGGAGCCACAAAGGAGGTGCAAAGGCTGCTAGGGAGGCTGCCCCAGGAGACACAGGGGAGGAGGAGCCTCTTGCCTTGACTGTCCCACCATTCCCCGCTAACACAGAGCTTGTGAGAGAGCCTGCATGCATTGTCCCCAAGATGCACAGCTGAGCAGGCAATGGGTGAGGGGTGGCTGTCAAGGCAAACAGACCAAGGACTGTCATACATATACTCAACCCAGTTTCAGTTTTACCCAAAGAATTAAAAAATCTTTACAACAAATGTTTTATCTCTGAACAACCATTCAGTGGATTTTCAAGTGGCATGATTTTAACATAGGAGAGGTTTTCGCTCCTCCCTCTTCATATTTTGCTTTTTTTTTTTTAAACCTCACAGAACAGTTAAAGAAATCATCCAATCAAATCCTTTTCATCTAGGGCACATTTACTTAGAGGAACAGACTTAGGTTCACAGTCTCCTGTATTTGTCACTTGCTCATCACTGGGTCTTACCAGTCTTGTCCTATCTTTAAACCTCTCATTTAAATCTCTCATTAAAGCTCTACATATACAAGCTCTACTACATGTGGAATTTTCAAAAACATGTTCAGGGCAAATATTATAATAGAGATACTGTCCTCTCCTACAGCTAGTTAGTAAATTTGA